AACTTGCATTATTTGCAGGCTAGCAATAGGCCTATCAATTCTAGCTGCATCCTGTGTGATTCTTTTGATACTTTTAGGTGGATCACTTAGGGGCATGCTTCCGCAAATATTTCTTAAGGTAATACAATAATATTATATTTGTGTTGAGTTTAATTGTTTGATGTAATTAATAATTATATTTATTTATTAATTTATAATTTATAAAATGATTAATATCTATTGATTAAAAATTAAAAATTTTAGTATTTTATATTAATTTTTAAAAAAACTATAACTTTATTAAAACAATAAAGTAGATACAAATTTAAACTATGCTCTTGCCATATCAACTAAATATAAACATAAAAAGAAAATTATTAATACATTTTCTGATTTAAAACATATTTTAATATTTACGTGATTTAATTATTAAAATATAATATAAATATAATTAATTTAGTTAAGTGACAAAAAATACTAATCCATGTATTTTTTGAGTTATTTGAAATCTACTCATGTACATTTTTTTAAAATATTTTAATCCAAGTATTTTAATGTTGAAATAAATTAATTTACATACTTTTTAATTTAAATAAATTTACTCGAATTTAATAGATGATGTTATGCTAAATTATATTTTCGTAAAATCTATTTTAAATCCATCATGTCATGAAATAAATCAACTTAAATACTTTTTGAGTTATTTGAATCTGTTTTTTTTATTTTTTTTTAAAAAATATTTTCAACCCACATACTTTCATGTTGAAATAAATTAATTCATTTACTTTTTTATTAAAATAAATTAGTTCAAATTTAACCGATGAAATCAAATTACATCATATTTTTGTGAAATCCATTTTAGACTTGTTATGCCTTAATGATTTGGCAACGTAGGTCCCATTTTTTGTGACATGCATTATTTTTAATTTCAACTGGACATATATTGATAATATGATAATAAAAACACATTCTTTTAATATCTTTGTTCAATGACAAAAATACCCTTTTATTCTCATTTATGATCATTTTTTGAGACCTTGGGTTTGGTTTGGTCATCCATGCTGCAATCTCTACAAGCCCTAAATCTCCTCCTCTGTAATCCTAAGAACTAGGTACTATTGTATCTAGTGAGGATCCTACTAAGGCTTTAGATTATGCCATTTAGGCTGCTAAATCCTATAAGAAGTGCCAAGTCAAAGCTCAACCTAACTTGGATCTCATCATGAGCTTGCATAGTTGCACATGTTCGTTGCGATCTACTACAACTTGGGGAGGTTTGACAAGGCTGTGCTAGTTTTAGAGCAAGCAATTCAAGTACCTAACATCATTTAGAGACGATGTTTAGTTAAAATGATTGTGAATGAGAAGAAGAGGGCGTCATTAGAAAGGTATAACCAAACCCAAAACCTTAGGTCCCAAATTCCCAATTTAAAAACAAAGAATAAAAGGGTATTTTTGTTATTAAATAAAAAAATTAAAAGAATGCATTTTTATTATTATGTCATCAACATATGTCTAGTTGGGATTAAAAATTATTCATATCATAAAAAATTGAACCATGCATGCCAAATCATCGAGACATAAAGGGCTTGAAATGAATTTCACAAAAATTTGAGTTGATTTATTTTAATAAAAAAGTATATGAATTGAACATTTTCAAAAAAAAAAGAAAAGTAGATGGATAGATTTCAAATAACTTGAAAAGTACATAAATTAATTTATTTTACAACATAATGGGCTTGAAATGGATTTTATGAAAATGTGATGTGACATGATGTTATCTTTTAAATTTAAATTGATTTATTTTAATAAAAAAATATGTGAATTAATTTATTCCAACATGAAAGTATGTTAATTATATATTTTTTTTTAGGTAAAGGGATAGACTTCAAGTAGCTTAAAAAGTACATGGGCTAGTACACCATTTTTGCCATTTAGTTGGTTCTTGCATGTCATACATATAATTATATCTTTAAATTTATCTGTTTTTAATATCATATAAAAAATAATAATTTTTTAATAAATATATTATATAGTGTATTAAATATAAAGGTATATCATTTAGTGTTCAAAATAAAAACACTAAAAAAT